AAGATGGCTTTTTTTTTCCCCCAGACTGTAAAGAGTATACTAGAAGGTGAGCCTCTCATTCATGTTTCTAGGTGGTAACGGGCAGCAGGGACTGACGTGGCAATGAACAGATGTCAGGGATTCCTGCCGACTTGTTGCTAAGGGAACTTTTGTGAAGATGCCCTGAATCCATAGAATCCGTAAGCCCTGCCCACCGCTTTGAAGTCCTGTGGGGTGGCCACTTGACCAGAGCTGCGTACAGCAGCCTAGAGGGAGCAGAGGCAGACAGAGGGGTGACCTGAAGGTGGATTTTTCAAACAGCATGAGCCACGAATGCAGGCCGCAGCCCCCAAATCAAAGAGCAGAAATGACTCAGTGACAATGGCAGAAAGCTTGTTGGTCTCTTCCGTCCCCGTCACATCCTCAGAGAGCCACCAGCCCTACTTACTAAGGGCTTTGTGAACAGAGCTGATAACTGCCTTTAAAAATCCGGCTGTGAGGGACTGAGGATCACAAACCCACTTTGGGTAAGTCTCCCATTACAGAAAGAAAGGCCCTGTATTAAAATCAATTTGTGGAACGTGGCAAGCATCTACTGGATGTCAGGCAGCTCAGATACACCATGTCTATTAATGGCCAGCACCAAAAAGCCCCAACCTAAAAAGGCTGCACTGGCATGCCAATGGCCCAGTGGACAGACCCAGGCTTTAGGGACAGGAAAATCGGGTTTCAAATTCAGCTGCAACATTTATTGGGTGGCCTTTATAAAGAAAGCCCTGGCATCAAAACAAAAACAAAAACAAAACAAAACAAACAAACAAAAAAAAAAAAGGGGGGGGGGTGGAGAGAGAGAGAGAGAATCTCTGAGGATGGCCATGGAGAATTTTCTAGCACAACAGCCAAGCCTCCTGCACTTTACCCCCCTCCAGGGGCTCTCTCACTCTCTCTCTCTTTCATTAGTGTGGGCCGGCACTGCTTCCTCTCTAATGCATCACTGCTCCGCACGTGTTCTCCGTACACTTCTGGGGATACCAGTCTCCAAAATGGCCCTCGATGCACCTGTACCCACACCTGTATGCACCTCCTTCCCATACAAGAATCCAGACTGGTTCTGGGACTCACTTTCCCAATAAAACAGGTCAGAAGGGACATGTCAGCTCTGAGCCCAAGCCTAAAGAGGGCCTGGCAATTTGCATTTTGTATTCTTGGAAGGCAGCCACCGTGGAAAGACTCCAACTCCCTGTTAAAGAGAAAGGCCATGTGCAAGGGCCACGGAGGATGAGACACTGTGGAAAGAAGGGCCCCCTTGGAAGAACACCAAGGCAACAGATATGGGGGTGCAGGCACCATCCTGGAGTCTCAGGCCAGCTTTGCCTCTGGGACCCCAGTCCTGGATGCATGATGGACACCAACACAGACCAACAGAAGAACCACCCAGCTGAGCCTTGTCGACTCACAGCACGGCGTAAGATAACAGCAAATGGGTGTTTCAGGGCATGAAGTCTTGGGGTGGCCTGTTTACACAGCAATAGATAAACCCTCATTCCTCAACTATCCACAGTCCAGCCCAGCTCCCTAGCTCCTCGTCTCTTGCACATCCACACCTTGAAAGCTCCAGCAGCATGTCACAGGAACCCAAAGTGGGAGACCAGCAGGTGGAGAGGAGACAGGAGTTCAAGGGTAACCCCTGCAGTCATCTAGTTCTGCTGGCAAACAGGGTCCCCTTGCTGCGCCTCTGAGGGCTACACGCCTCAGCCAGATGGTGGCTTCCAAGAGCAGGCCCTAAACCAAGGAAAGCTCTGTTTGTGTTTGCATTCCCTTATTTACCCACAATATTATTTCCCCAAAGCTCTGGGGGTTTCTGAGGATGCCTTCCATTATCTTCCAGGTCCTAAATTTCTTTTCTCCATCCAAGGTTCCTGGCCCTCCAGCCATTGGGTTCCCTCCTCCCAGTGCTCTCTCTCTTCCTCTGGGAAGCTCCATCACCCCCCTTAAGAGGATCCTGGTGGCCCCATGTCCTTGTCCCCATGTCCTTGTCCCCATGTCCCTCCAGGGCCTTCTCAGCCCCCACTTTTCCACTTGGGCTGATGAATTCCTGGAAGCTGCTTTCTAGAAGCCAAGGAAGTGCTGGGCCCTTGTATCATTTCGTTGGTGGCCTGACCTAAGAGATTCCCCCTGGGGGAACCAGGACCAGAATCTCCCCTCCCCCAGGGCTGGCTGACCTCCAGGGCAGATCTTGCAGCCCTGTCAGAGTTAGCTCCCAGCTCCCCTCCACGGGGCATGCTTCTTGCAAAGTCAGGGCCTCTCGGTCCTCCTTTCTCCATATGAACAAGAAAGGAATCCTTGGGGAGTGACCATTTTGCATGTGCTTGCCCTCAACCGGAAGTACCCTTCTACCAGGATGGAGCTTCTCAGTAGGACTCTTTTTACCATAGACCCAAAGGTCCCCTGATCCCAGCTGTGGCTTTGCCATCTGATGCCTCCCCCAGTGCCACCCATTTGGTCTCCCCAAAATCTCCCCTGGCCTTGATTCACATGCCCCCAGCGGGCTCGGGGCCAGGCACCCCCTGGTGGACATCCCATGAGCTTCTCCTGGAAGCTGGCTGGCTTCTCATGAGCCAGCCTCCTGGCTTCTGCACCAACTTCCAACTTGGATGAACACCTGGTTGTGGCTTCTCCAGACTCAGTGTGTATCACACACTGGCCAGTCCACTGCCAGCAACTCCCCTGGGCGTTGTGCACTGTCCCCTAACCAAGGCTGTCTTTGGGGACTCACCCCATCCCAAGGGGCTCTACCCACATGTCCTCCATCCCTCGGCCTTGAGATCCAGCTGGCTCACAGACGAGGTTTCCAGATACAGAAGGCCTCGTCTCCAATCCTTCCTCTCGGAACTGCCACCTGCCTTGACCCTGAAAAGTCCCAGGGCCCAGGCCCACCCCTGCCTCCACCTGTGGGAAGGCCAGCAGCCTCCCTGTGAAACCAAACTGCCGGCTTAGCAGGAGAGATGCTCCAGGCGGGAAGGAGCCACTGCCCTCATATTAGCCCCAGTCCTCGGCCTCCCCGCAGGGATGCTGTCGGCATGCCACGTTTAGAACAGACACAGGTGGAGAGGGTAACATTCAGCTGTCTGAGCCGCTGAGCCAACGTGCAAGCATTATTACTAACCCTGGGGCAACTGCCTTCAGCTCCAGTGCCTGCCTGTGAATGGGCACAGTGCTTCCCCCTGCACTGAGTGGGCAGGGGAACCGGCACCCAGTAGGTGCTCAAGAAACCGAAGCCCTTCTCGGCAGCGTTGCTCCCACAGATGGGCACTTCTGGTGCGTGTCACCCGCTGGGAGTTGATATGACAGCCCCTTACGCACCAGAGATTTCCTAAGCTTGCACACGCCATGGGACGTGACTGACACACCCAACAGTGTCCCAGCTGGTCAATCTGTTTGTCTCCTGGGTCTGGTTCACCCTCCCTTCCCCAGAGGAAAAAAGCAGAGCCTGGCCTGCCTGCTCTCCTCAGCACAGCCTACCAACCCACCAGCCTCGCCCCCCCCCCCAAAAACAGCTGGCTGCGCCCAGCCAGGGATGCTCCCCACCGGACAGACCTCCAAGGGCCAAATTTCCACAGCTGTATTTCCTGGAAAAGTGTGGCCACCAGAGGAACTCTACAATAGGGGTCTCTCCCAGGGCTTCTAGCCAGACACAAGGAGGCTGCAGGTCCTCGTAGGAAGCCATGCACTTGCTCGCTTCACATCTGAATCCCAGGGAAAGGAACCCAAAAAGCTCAGAGACACACCTGAGCCTGCCTTACGCACACAGGTTCCTCAAAATAGAGAACCACGGGGGTTCCCCAACCTACTCCTCCGCTTGGCATGAAATCTCAATTAGCCTCAATTTTGCTCGAACGCTACTTATCCACTTAGAGGGGGATCTTCTCCTTCTCCTCTGGACCCAAAAGAGACATCGTGTACCTCTACCGGGCCAGGCTCTCGGTCTGGCAATATTTCCACAGGACGTGTCTCAGCAAACTCACCCGCAATCATTTTGCCCCATCCATCCATCCTTTCTTTCCTTTCCTTTTTTTGAGTCGCACCCAGCGGTTTCTTTCAAAACTTGCTACTTTGTTCTTGGGGAAGTAGGTCAGGGGTCAAATTGTAAACACCCGGCCTCGGCCTCGGTGATTTGGGAGGCATTTGGGCAGAAGGGTTGATACATATTTACACAGTGGTGGGTATCCCCCCCCCCGCCTTTGAAGTCTGGACAACAATCCTGGGGTTCAGTTGCTTTTTAGGAAAGGGTATGTGCCATAAGGTCACTCCTCCCCCCCACCCCGCCCCCACCAAAGGACTTAAAAAACTTGGGACCCCACTCTGGCTGTGACCATGAGCTCAGTGATTAGAGGACAACAGAGAGGCCTCCCAACTGTCACCCGGACAATAAACAGCCAGCGGACTTGGCTCAGCAGGTCCTGTGCAGCCCTGGGCGCAGGCCAGAACCCCAGGCACAGGCCACTCTCAGGCTCCGGACCAGGGCAGGGGCGCTGGGCGCCGCTGGGTCGGGCGCGCGGCTCGGGCTGGTGGCCAGCCGGGCTCGGGGGCCCGCAAGTGAGCGGCCCCGGGCGGCCGGGCAGCCCGACCCTGAGCAGCAGCGCGACCGTGCGCGGGCGGCACCGGGGGCCCGGGCCGTGCCACTTTCCGGATCCCGACGCTAGACCGCCGGACTCCGCGGCCCTCGGCCGGCCCCCGCCAGCGCCCGCTCCCGAACTCTCACAGGCAACAAGTTCTCCCTCCTCCGGCAGCCGCGCCGTGCTCGGGAGGCCCGGCGCGGGGGGCGCTCCGGGGGCGATCCCCGCGCGGCCCGGGGTCGGGCGCCAGCCGCTGCCCCCCCCCCGCGCCGACCCCGCGGCCCCCTCGGGCGGGGGCGGCTCCCCGGGCATCCCCGGCGCGGGCAACAGGTACGCGGGCGCGCAGCACCGCAGCCCCCGGCTTCCGCGCCCCCCGCCCCCCGCCCCCCGGCCCTCGCCCCGTACCTCCAGCAACTGCACGTAGCTCGCCGGGAACCAGCCGCGGAGCCCGTCCTCCTTCTCGCCTTCCCACCAGCCGCCGTCCGGGACCTGCAGCAGCGTGATCAGCTCGCCCGCGGCGAAGCGCAGCCCCTGGCCGTGCCGCTCCCCGGAGAAGGGGTACAGGGTCCGGCAGCGGGCGCCGGACATGGCCTTGGCGCCCGGGCTCACAGCGCAGCCTGCATCCCGGCCGAGCCCCGCGGGCTGGGCAGCGGCTCCGCGGGGTCCCAGGCGCCCGGCGCTCCGGGCTCCCGCGCTCTGGGCGCGCGCCGTCTCGGGGGTGCGCGGGGGTCCCCGGCCCGGCGGGGGACGCGCGCGGCGCGCAGGGCAGCGGAGACTCGCGGAGCGGGCGGGGCAGGCGGCGACGCCCCCGGGCCGGGCAGCTCGCGGCCCCAGCTCCGGGCGGGGGGGCGGGGCTCAGGGGGAGGAGACCCAGGCGCCGCGGGCTCCGGAGACAACTTCCCGGGGACGCGGGGCGCGGGCTGCGGCCGCGAGGGCCGGCGGGGGCCGGGGCCGCCCGGGCGCGCGGAAAGGCGCGGCTCCCGGGGGAGGCGGGATCCCGAGCATCGCGGGGGCCCGGGGCCCGGCTCGGCGGCTTGGGGGCGGCCGGGCGTCGGCGCGGAGGGGGCGGGCGCCGGGCTGGCCGAGCGGGGGCTCGCGCGGAGGCGAGGGGGCGGGCCGGGGGCTGGGCCAGGGCGGCCACGCCCGCGGAGGGCCGGGCGCTCCCTCGCCGAGGGGCAGGTCGCCGGGGAGGGGTCTCCGCGCTCGCACCCCCGCCTCCCCAGGCGCCGGGACCTGCGACGCCCTTCCGCGCCGGCTCGGCGGGGCTGGTGGCCGGGGGCGGCCCGCGCGGAAGGGCGCCTGCTCCTCGGGGCGCCCGCGAGGGCACGGGTCTGTGGCCGCCGAGGTCGGGGTTGTGCTCGGGGCTGAACGTGGCTCACGGGGAACCGAGCCCTGGGGGAAAGGCAGGTTGGAGGCACCGAGCGGGGAGGCGACGAGCTGGGACTCGGCGGGATTGGAAGCCAGGTCGGTGAGGACAGATGGAGGAAGGGGGAGAGGTGCGAGGAACAGCCCCCAGCGCTGTGCCTGCCGAGGGGAGGCCGGCCCGGGGGTACCCGCCCTCCTGCAATCCAGGCGGGCCAGGCTCTGGAGGTCGACGCTCTCCTACTCAGTCGACAAACCTGGGGAGGCTGCCCCCTTCCATGCAATGAGCCAGGTACCTACAAAGATCGTCTGGGCAAGGGCCTGCTCTCCAGGGCCCAGAGGACCTGGATGCCGAAGAAACGACCTTGAACCGAGGGTTGAGAAGTAAAAGAAAGTGGAAAAGCTTCTTCATTAGCTTACTCTAAAGGAAAACTTGAAGTCTATTTCCTAAGCTGTAAATAACTGGACCCTTTAATCTCTCTGCAAGCTTCAAATTGCCTCCCCTTGGATCCTGCTCAGTAATCTTCCTTGGCTCCCTGTTGCCCGCTAAATCAAGTGCAGACCTCTCAGCCTGTGCCCTTCAGACTCTGTGCAGTATCTCCCCTGGCCCCATCTCCCATATTTGTCTGGATACCCTCTTCCAAAACCATCCCGCTGGGCCTTAAGATCTTGCTTATCTTTCAGTGCTTCTCAGTCCTGGCTGCACATTAGATTCACCTGAGTGACTTTTTCAGATGCTCGTGCCCAGGCCCACCCCAGTTTTGGAAGATCCACATTGAGCCGTGTGGTCTGCATTTCAACCATTTTGCCTTGAGCCGCCTCAGACTGGCCTCTGGCCACGGGCAAGCTGACAAATGCACGTTGCTTATAACAGTCCATCGATTGCAAATGCGCAAACCCTTGCTTGGCTAGAAACACAGGGAAACAGACTCTGCACTGCAGTCACCACTGGGCATCCCTGAAAGCAGAGCTGCAAAATTTCATGTAGGGAACGGTCTGGAAAAAGTAAGTGACCTGATCGGTTACAAAGGCCTCAAATTCCTCCGAGGGGAAGGCGGGGCATATGTGACTGTTAGTAGACCGACCTCAGGTTTCATATCTGATGATAAGGCCCAGCTAAGGTTGGAAGGCCAGACCGGAGCCTTCTTGCAACTCCCAAATCTTCCACGGTGTGTGTGAGCAACCTGGCGATCCAGTGTGGACTCAGAAATCTCAGCCTAGGGATCCCTGGGTGGCGCAGCGGTTTGGCGCCTGCCTTTGGCCCAGGGCGCGATCCTGGAGACCCGGGATTGAATCCCACGTCGGGCTCCCGGTGCATGGAGCCTGCTTCTCCCTCTGCCTGTGTCTCTGCCTCTCTCTCTCTCTCTCTCTCTCTCTGACTATCATAAATAAATAAATAAAAAAATCTCAGCCTACAGGGCATCCCAAATACCCAAGCCCCAAGTGGCCTGCCCCAGACGGTTTTGCAGCGCCAAAATTGGTAACGGCTGGTGGTTTTTTCAGTTCTTCCTCTGTGTTCCTGTACTTCTATGAGCGACTGTGGTTACTGTCATCTAATCCACAGGTAGAGAAAAGAAGCTCAGAAGGTAGGACTTGCCTAGCACAGCAGAACCAGGCATAGAGCTCGGATCAGGGCTGCTTCCTCTTGTCTACTCTGCCTGAGTCGGGGACGTGTGTATCCTAATGCCCCTGCCACAGACAGCATCTTAGGATAGGGCTCTCTGGTTGATACCCAAGGTGAGTCTGGATAGATTTGCCTGGCCTGGCAGTCAGCAGAACTCCTGTCCCTGATCTCTTCCTGATGAAGTAACTTGAACAACACCTAACACCCCAACACCCTCAGGTCTGTTTCCCCATCTGTGATTGGTGTCTGAATCCAGTAGCTGGAACGTGGCCCTCAAGATGGTTAAATGTAGTTCCGTGGCTCAGTGTAGGCTCTGGCCTCCCTATCTTCAAACCCCAGTTTCGCCACTTACCAGCTGTGTGCCCTTGGGCAATTGACTCAACCTTTCTGAGCTTCATTTTCTCCATCATTAGAAGATGGTAGTAGCACCTCTATCTTCGTGATTAGGAGGATTAAATAAGTAAAAGTTAAGCCATGTAGAGTAATACCTGGCATTAGCAATTATTATTAATCTAGTCTGATGGTCCTGGCTGTTTATTATCTAACACTTGTTTTCGAACTAAGATTTCTAAGGCCATAATAAGCAGGAACTTATGTAATCTTTGGGATGCCAAAAATGTAAAGAAACACACTCGGGGTTACTGTTTCCTCATAAGATCTTGAAGTAAAGATGAGTGTCTCCATCCATCCCTCCCTCCCTTGCCTTCTTCCTCCCCTGATCTTTTATCACTATTTTGAACTCTTATTTGAATCTTTAATTATTTAACTTCTTTGAACCCAAGTCTTATTTCACTTGGGTTTTACTAAGTGAAACCTATTTTACTAAGTAGTCTCTTAGTAACTCAGGGGAGGGAGTACATGTTTGTTTTTAATTTCTACCTTTCGTTCTTAAGGGCTAACGTCAAATCCTGCACAAAGTAGGCATTTGGCACTTCCTGAATTCGTTTTGCAATATGAGCGGGTCTGAACCCCTGCTCATTTTCAGATTTTCCATATTGCCGAGTTACTCCATAAACACATGTGTTAGAACATCTGGATTAGACTATAAACTCCTCAAAGCAGGCTTTCGTCTTTCTCTCTCTCTTAGCTTTCTCTCGACACCATGCATTTATTTGATAACTGGGCTGGCGGGGATGTCTTTTCTCTCCAAGACAATCTTCTGTGCCTTTCCATCATCAGCCTATGGATGGCAGAGAAATCTCAGGGTTTCAGTTTCATAAAAAGTTAAACATGTATTTGCCATATGACCCAGCAATTCTCTCCTGGGTATCTACTTAAGAGAAATGAAAACAAAAGGCCACACAAAAACTTGCGGTGCAGCACTATTTCGAAATCCCAAAAGTAGAATTAATGCAACTATCCACCAGCTGATGGATAGATGAGACGAGGTATACTCATACAGTGAAATATTCACTCAGCCAAGAAAGGACTGGACCACTGACACACCTGACACAGGCTACAATGTAGAAAGACCACAAAGACACTATACAGAGTGAAAGAAGCCAGATACAAATTGTGGGTGGCCTGGCTGGCTCAGTCAGAAGAGCATGCAGCTCTGGATCTTAGGGTCATGAGTTTGAGCCCCACATTGGGTGTAGAGATTACCATAAATAAATAAATAAACTTAAAAAAAAGGCTACATATTTGTATGATTACATTTCTAAGAAAATTCCAGAAAAGGCAAATCTATAAGAGACAGTAAATTAAGATTAGCAGTTGCCTGGGGCTGAGAGCAGAAATAGGGGGAAAAAGTAGATGGTCATGAGGTTTCTTTTTGGGATGATGACAATGCTCTAAAATTTGATTGTGGTCGGGATTGTGCAACTCAGGAAATCATTGGATTGTATACTTAAAACAAGGAAAAGTTTGGGTATGTAAATTATACCTCAATAAAGCCGTTACAGAAACCAAAATGTAAACAAGGATATACAAGGGCCTCATTCATTCTTTGGGGACTCCCTTTCCGTGCCAGTTCATTCAACAGCAGCCTGAAAGACCAACCGAAATGGCTAAGTTTCGGGCTTGGGGCTAACGAGACAAACATGGCAGAATAACTAGAGAATTCCTATAGTCAGTAGGAAAAATATGGGTGACTCCTCAGGACACCTGGTGGCTCAATGGTTGAGCGCCTGCCTTGGGCTCAGGTCGTGATCCTGGGGTCCTGAGATCGAGTCCCGTATCAGGTTCCCTGTAGGGAGCCTGCTTCTCCCTCTGTCTATGTCTCTGCCTCTCTCTCTCTCTGTGTGTGTGTCTCATGAATAAATGGATAAAATCTTTAAACAAAAAAATATATATATGGGTGACTTCTCAGAAAAAAAGGCAAAAGACTTGGACAGGCATTTCTCAAAAAAGATACCCAAACAGCCAATAACAACACATCCAAAGGCACTCAACCTCGGTAGTCTTTAGAAAATCAAATCAAAATCATAAGGAGGTAGCAGTACGCACCCATGGAAATACAAAAACAAAAAATATAATAAGTATATTTATAAATAAAACTGAAATTTACAAAATGGATGGTAAATATAAAAACAGAGAAAATGCTCCATACTGATGAGGACACAGCGCTCCCAGAGCTCTCCTACACTGCTGGCTGGAGCCCTTTGGAAAATGTGATATTCAGCAAAGCTGACTCATAGCATCTTCTGTGACTCATCCATACCCCTTGTAGGTATTTGCCCAACTGAGATGTGTTCATATGTGAGTGAACAACATAAACAATGTATGCGATGTTCATGACAGCAGTATGCTTATTAGCCCAAAGCTGAAAACAGCCCAAAGTCCATCAAGAGTAGAGTGGGTCCCTAAGGGGTGCCTGGCCTGCTCAGTCGGTAGAGCATGAGACTCTTGATCTCAGGATCCTGAATTCGAGCCGTTCCATGCTGGGTGCAGAGCTTACTTTAAAAAAAAAATGTTTTCAAGAAAAGAAAATATCATATTATAAAATAAATAATAAAATGTTATAGTCCCTGACCTCAAAGAATCTAGA